TTAATTTTATTTATTTATTTCAGGAGATGATCGAGGATTTTTGGGGATCGATTTGAAAATAAAGAAAGGGGTAAACAAATTCAAAATTATAGAAATAATTTATCCCGGGGGTTGATCTATAATTTCTGGCGAAGAAAGAGATTTTTTCCAAAATTCGATTTTCTATCAAATATTCATTTAATAAAAAAAAGACTAATAAAAATAATAAAATCCTCAAGTCTTTAAAACGGAAAAATGAAAAATAAAAATTGTCACCCCCAGCCCAGCGGACCTGTAACTTTCGGGGTGAGAGTGATGTCTTCCTGCCCCAAATAATTCATAAAAAGATAACCGATTTTTAAACTCGACAATCGAATATTTTCCCGTCCCGAGTAAATCCTGTTTACTGAATGACGTATTTCCCGAAGTGCATGTATCATGTACATCGATTTGATCGAGTGGAAATACCGAGAACGGATGATTCACAGTTGCCTCTCAGTTATTCCCACTTTTATTGCTCATTGTTACGGAGTTTACCATGAGTCAAGTAAAACCCACACTCGAATTACATTTTTTCCCCCATTTTCGCCGAATGAAAATGAGACAGCGACATTGAAGCGAGACGTTAAGGTGAATAAAATGCAAAAATATGTTGCTTTTATACATTTTCCTCATACCCATGTTATGACAATTCGAGTGCTGGCACGTGGAGATGGTTGGAGGAGGGATAAAAATCATTTGGGGATGTCTGGAGGTGCTGGACACTGGAGAACGAGCGTAACGACTCAACGGATGAGCGAACTCAAGTACAGAACTGCCAACAAGTCACCCTAGCTCCTTTTTTTTTTTCACATTTTTTTTTAACACTCAGCCCCGCACTTCTGCAAACCACCCACGTCTCCCCAGGGCCATTGGCATGACGAGCCGTTTAACCGCAAAGAGGGAATGACAGCCCTCAAGCTGTGGGGGCTGTTTCATCGTGTGCACACGATTACCAAAATTTTAGGGAAATTGCGGATGGCATGGGTGATGGAACTTGAGAAAAGATATTTCTCTCTGAATATCTTATCAAGTAGTCCGTCATGTCGAGATTATTATTTTGAATATCAACTTGAAATTAATAGCAAATGAATTTTTAATAATTTTGTAATTTTGTAATCATAAAAATTATTAAAAACACGAGTAAAAAAATGAAAAAATTGTACGAAAAATGCAGAAAGAAATAATTCGTATTATTAAACTTCTAGTGATGAATAAATGAAAAAGAGAATTATAAAATTCGTACAATTCCCGAGTGCAGTAATGAATACAAATTTTTATCCATTATTCTACTAATTCAAATTTAAAAAAAATATTCTTTCTATTTTATTCTTCAAGTATTAATTAAAAATTCAAATAATAATCAATAATAATAATCTCGAGATGATTTTGACAGTTCCCCAATTATTACAAAGATCGTAATCAATTGTTGTTCGTCGTAAAAAAAAAATTAGTGGAACCGCTTAGAAAATGGAATATGGAATATAGCAGTCAAGTATGTACTTGAAATAAACTTGAAATGGACTTGAAATTGACTTGAAATGTACTTGATAATTGATGATTGGAGTAAATGAAGTTGATTATGATTATGTCACCTCGTTGATGTGTTTGTAGGTCTTTATGAGGTCAACACTGAGCTTTCGCAGAGGAGCAGTCGCTGGATCTCGAAACCTGTGGGGTATCCTCGCCTGCATAGCGTGAATATCCGCTGGAGTTTCCTGGGGGACACCCCCAGCACCTGTACCACATACTGCTGGTTCCTCGGCTACAAGACGTCCGTACAATGGTGCACCACCGGTACCCGTTCTCCCACTCACTGAAAACACATTTTATTTAGTTTCTCGTTACTATTTCATAATCCAATTGCACCCCCATATTTTCATTTAAACAATTTCAACAAACAATAACAACAACACTTGCAGTAATAACCTGTATTTTTGATAATCTGGACGGTGAAAATTCTGGTAACGATTTCGATTTTTTTAATCACAAGGAAATAATTTTAAAAAAAGAAAAAAACAGAAAGAAATATTTGGATTTTCTCATTTTTTAAGATGGCATTACGCCATTATTTCAGTCTCAGGATCAGTTGTTTTACGATAATTCTGTTTTTCCCAGAACTTAATGAATCGCAAAACATTAATTCCTGGCGTTAAATCCCGGAGATGTTTATATGTTTAATCTTCCCCCGTAATTCAATAAATCTGGGAAAAAAGGTAGAAAAAATTCCCTCTTCATTTTTTTGGATGATAAAAAGAAATTTATGAGATTTTGCAAAAAAAAAAAATATAAATAGGGGAGGGTGTAACGATCTGACGGTTGGCATCGCGTCTCGGCCACTGCCGACTCAAATATACTCGACTGCTCGGTATATAATGAAATCCTAGTTGAGTTTCCACCGCAGTCGTTAATTTGACGTATGCGTTTGTCGTCCGAGGGCAACAACGAGAAACGAGAGAGGGAGAAAGCTTGGCACTCGCTAACGCATTATCGTTATTTTAACGACCCTGTTTGGTGGCTTACGTTCTCCCTCTCGTTCAACTTCTCGCCCTCATGGCCGATGGAAAAAAAAAGAATTAAATTAATAAATAATCAGCCGAGGAAAGGCTAATTAGGGAGGGATTGAATAAATAATTTTTGTTTATTGTTGGATGGGAGGGGTGGCGATGGTCGGAGATTGAGGATTTATTTATTTATATTGATGAGTCTAATGGGAGTCGGGATTTTTTTAATTAGTTGAATGTCTAGGGGAAAGGGAAAATTCAAAAAAGGAGAAGAGCATGGGGATTTAATTCTTGGGAATTCGTGGATTTTTTGGCAAACATTTTTTTTCTTAGAAATTAATTTTGGGAGGATTTAGAGAATTTAGATTTATGAATGAAAATCAAAAATCATCAGTGAAATTTGCTGAGAAAATACCAGACTTCAAAATTTCCAGTGAAAAAAATTCTTTTTTTAATTCTAAAAATGTATTTTGGGGGAATTTGAAGGAATGAATGAAAATCAAAAATGATTAATGAAATTTGCTGAGAAAATACAAAAGACTTTAAAATTTCCAGTGAAAAAAATCCTTTTTTTAATTCTAAAAATGTATTTTGGGAGAATTTGAAGGAATGAATGAAAATCAAAAATGATCAGTGAAATTTGTTAAGAAAATCCCAAAGACTTCAAAATTTATGGTAAAAAAAAATTCTTTTTTTGTTCTAAAAATGTTTTTTTTGGAGAATTTAAAGGAAAAACGAAGGTAAAAAATCCAGGAAAAAAATGAGAAATTGAAAATCAAAAATGGTCAGTGGCATTGGCTGGGAAAATGTGCGAAGAGTGGAGTATGTGGGTGGATAAATGGAGGGGGAGTCTCGTGCGTTCTACGAGAGTCTCCAGTGGTGTAAATGTGGGTCAGGGCGCGGTTGAATGAAAAAAAAAAATATCATTCATTAACACGCTCGGACAGGGGCTCTCACAGTCTTCAGTTCCAGGCCGTGAACTTTTTTTCATCCTCATTCTAAAAAACCTCCAGTGTTTACACCTTAGGTAGACTGTCGTCGTTCCACTTGAACGTCTCAGTCGTATGCCCCCATTTGCATATTACCGTTGGTAATGATAAGTGGTAGGGGGTACGTTAGACTGCAAAGAGGAATCGATTGACTCAAGAAAGTACCCGAGACTCGTACGAGTGCAAGTACCGAGATAACACCGAGAGGAAACTCCTTGGCAACTCCTTCACCCCAAAAAAACAACCCCTGTCCTCTTGCCGGAGTAAAAAAAAAATATATTTTTGCCGAATGTGCATTAACTTGAGAGAATTATCAACATTTTAACAATCGTATTTGGCAAATGTTCTTGGACTTCAACTCCAATAATTATTCAGTTTTCCAAAAATTCCAGTTTTCTTGAGAGAAGAACTCCAATTACTTCCCGAATTATAATTAACATTAATAATTATTGAAAAAGTATATTCAATGACTTAATTAACATAATGATTGACCAATTATTGCAGTAATATTTAAAAAAATGAATGAAATATTTAAAAATATATAATATCAAATTGGAATTAATGAATATTCCGAGAATAAATTGTCTCAAGGTAATCATCATGTACGTGCAAAAAAAAAAAAGAGTAATTGTCGCAATCGGTGAGAAAAAAATCGAGTCCTTTTTTTGCCGCGTGGCATATGAAAATAATTCCGTGTAAGAGCCTCCGGGGTGGGGTAAAAGAGTTAAATCGCGTGTCATCCCCGCGAGGGGGTGGTTTAGGGGGGGCCAGTGGGGTTGTGGGTTGAGAACCCTTGGGGTGAGGTCACGAAATGCTGACATAGGCCGTGCGATAGCCAACACGCATTCCACTTCATTCATGTTTCTTGATCTACACCCCCTTCACCCCCTTCATCCCCTTCATCCCCCACACTCCCCCCATTCGCCAAGTGGAGGTGCCCCTCGTAAAATCACCACCCGAAGGGGTTGAGGGTGAATTTTCCCCGGTGCCAATCTCTTCACCAGTATTTTTTAAAAACTTTTAAAAACCATTTGCAAAATTATTCCCCATCGATTTTCATTCATTTATTTGTTTATTAAATAATTATAAATTTATTTTTAATACCGAAAAATGTAGAGTTTAAATAAAGAGCTTTTTTTTTATGTTTGGGTTGGGATTTTCGTTTTTATTTATGATTTAATGAAATCCTGGAGAAATCCGATGAGACACCGAGGACATGCTCCAATTACTGAATGCATGGAATTACCCACCCCCTCCGTGGACAAAGTGACATTCCATCGGTAAAACACACGCAGCACTCTTTATCCGTAATTACAACGAGAGTATCACGCAAAGTGCATCCATCGCAAATAAATAATCGTCTCGGTTTTAATTTAGTGTTCTGTTTGCCCCTTCCCCCGGGAATTTTACGAAAAAAAATTGCTTTTTAAAATAAATATGGAATAATTTGGGGTGATCGGATGTACATTCCGTGGGTATGAACGTAATACATGTGTCACCGGGTTCGTAATTGGCTCTTGGGATACTGTTATTACTCGCCGGCCCACATCCGGAAATAGCGAGTGCTTCCCACACGGTGGAATTAACAGAAAAATCGAAACTACTGACATTTTTTATGAAAAAATCACCACGGATAAAATTTCTGGTTAAATTCCATTATAAATATAAAAATGATAAATTAATTATGGAGTACTTAAAGAAGCCGATACGATTCATAAAAAATTGAGTCTTTTAATTCATTTTTTTTATTGGATTTACGGTGGAATTAACAGAAAAATTGAAACTACTGAAATTTTTTATGAAAAAATCACCACGGATAAAATTTCTGGTTAAATTCCATTATAAATATAAAAATAATAAATTAATTATGGAGTACTTAAAGAAGCCGATACGATTCATAAAAAAATGAGTCTTTTAATTCATTTTTTTAATTGGATTTACGGTGGAATTAACAGAAAAATCGAAACTACTGAAATTTTTTATGAAAAAATCACCAAGGATAAAATTTCTGGTTGAATTCCATTATAAATATAAAAATGATAAATTAATTATGGAGTAATTAAAGAAGCCGATACGATTCATAAAAAATTAACTTTCAATTCCTTTTTTTATTGGATTTGTAATTTGTTTAGTAAAATTTAATTTAGTCGATGGATTTTAGAAAAAAAGGAGAAATGTTCATTTATAAAAAAATAAGAGAAGAATTGAGATTTCTTAAAGTTTAATTTTTTAATTTTTTAATCGTGTGGATTATCAAGATTTATTATATAAAAAAAGCCAAGCAGTTGGAGTTGATTTCTAAAAAATGTCAATTTCCATCTACATAATGACGAACTAATTTCCGGTAATTAACAAACTACAAGTAGAAGTCAATGCCCGAGAGAATTGCCAATCCAGTATTAAAACACCTCGACATCACCAGATCCGAGGTGCCATGATTTGTCATCAAACGGCACGACCGGCGCTATGAAAAACGAACGAAAAAACAAAAAAAAAATGCATAAAAAAACCGAAAGAAAGAAAATCTACAGATGAATTAACACTCGAGCGTGCCCAATAAAATTTGCGCTCGAGTGAAAGCAGCATTTTATTCACTTGCTTATGCAAATACTCCGGCCATCGCCAGTGACGCGAATTATTTTTATATGCCACTGACAATGCACCCCATGACAACATCTCTAAAAACGAGAACAAACGAACAGAAAAAACTGGTAAAAAAGGGGGGTAAAAAAAGTTGAGAGTAAAATGTAAATAAAAACAATGTAAATGAGATGCATAAAGCTTATGGGTGTAACTCGTTTCTGTTTAATTGGCGTCGGGTAAACACCGCCAGCAGGGGCTACAAAGTGAGATTTATTCGATAAACTACTCCCAGTGTGAGAGTACCCAACACAAAGTTAAAATGAAAGGATCTCCGTCTTCAATGGTCCTTGAAGATTAACAAAAAAAATATACATGTTTAAAAACGCGAGAGAACGCGCTTTTGCCTTTAACAAAAGCAACTGAAAACAATTTTCGTATCAACCACCAAAAATAGAACATGACCGCAAATAATATGTTTCGAGTGTGAGAAAAGAGGGAAAAAGAGAGATGGAGAAGCGAGGGGGCAAATAAAGGAGAGAGAGGAGGGATAAAAAAAAAGTCAGCTGAACCATTGGTTATTCCGTAAATTTTCGATGATGTTAAAGTTGGCATCGACGAGGCAAACTAGATTCTCGCTCTGCGAACCGTACCTGACTCTTTCTCTCTGTCCTCTCTTCCTCCGTTCTTCCTTCCTTTTTCGGACTTCTCACTCCCACCCCCTTCCACCGCCCAGGCCCCC